TAATAATTTGCCAATGTGTGTTTTGCGGGACTGCTAAAGCATGTGTATGCTACTATGCTTATCAACTAGGGGACCTATGCCCTTAAGTCATAAATGACAGTAATGAGGATTAATGCTTCACAAAAGGGCACAACTATAGCAAATCGACACGGTTTTGATCCTGGTGCCTCACAGTTACGAGGCCATTGTTTTGTCACTGAACCATGACTGTACGCAGCGGGGGCTAGGGTAGGGGGCAGTTTCGATTAATTAAAAAAAAAACAGAAAATGCAATAAATTTTCAATAATTTATTGCATTTTACCCCGGTCCCCAACATAAAAAAATCCTCTGGACGGCCATGCATTATGGCTCAAGGCATGGGCACACAGGATATTTTTTTATGTACAGTCATATGGTTCAGTGACAAAGCAATGGCCTCGTAACTGTGAGGCCCCAGGATCAAAACCGTATCGATGTGCTATATTAGTGCCCTTTTGTGGGGCATTAATCCTCATTACTGTAAGAGGGGGGTAAGAGGAAATTTTTGTTTTATTTTTTGGTCACGAAATTTTTAAATTTGACATTTCGCTCCGTTGGGGGGGGGGGCGGTAAGGTCACCTTCTTAGGTCAGCTATTGGCTTTTTTTTTAATACAAAAAATTATATTTTTTGGGGGGGCCGGGGGGGGGGGCACGTTTCTGTTTTTCAGTACATTTTGGGCGAATTTAAGGCTGATTTTAACATCTTTTTTTAGGCCGGAGGGACACGTGCCCCCTGTGCCCCACTCCCCTGGATCCGCCACTGACACTTAGCCCCCCCCCCCCCCCTTGCGTACGCGCCTGATGAGTAGTAGTTGTTGTAGTCGTAGTAGTAGTAGTAGTAGTCAGGCGCGGATCCACGGGCCGATTCTACCTGCCCGGCCCCCCCCCCCCTAGCCTCCCAAACCGGTAAAAAAATAGGATAGTAACGTAGATTTTACCTTAAAAAAAACTATAAAAAACGCCCCCCCCCCCCCTGACCTGCCAGTGACACAAATGCGGCATCAAAATATTTGTGCTTCTCTGACCGTAATTAAATGCCTATAACCTCTGATTTTCAGGGGGCTCCGCCCCCTGAACCCTCACACCAATTTACGCTCGCTACCCTCTACCTGATCGTAAATACTTTTGCCCCCCACTTTCATAAACGTTCCGCGGGGCCTGTGTATATAATATATACGTATACAACACTGATCTTTATGATGTCTTTAACGTGACATATCTTCTTCTCCCCTTGCAAACGAGAAAGAAAACAAGGTCATTAAAAGGGATTAAGCGACAAATAATGATTGTGATTCAAATTGATGCGAATATTTGTTTGAATAAGCACTGCTATTCACCAGAACCTTCTTTGCAAAAACAACTTTTACAAATCTCAGCCATGCATACTGAGTTGAGACGTTCCATTGAATTTAAAGTACTCATTAAAGAATACACTTCTCCTAATCTGAAAGTGATCTTACAACACAGTGGCAGAATTGCATTGCTGATATTTGTCAAAAGTCGTTTTTTACAAAGAAGATTCTGGTGAAAAGCATTGCTTATTCAAAAAAAATCCTTGCATCAATTTGAATCATAATGATCATTTTGTCGCATGACCCTTTTATTAAATAACCTCATTTTCTTTTTTGTTTGCAGGGGGAGAAGAAGCTATTGTCACGTTAAGAAATTATAAAGATCAGTTGTATTATGCGTATATACATTATGACAACAGAACAAACAAAATGTTGATTATCAGAATGTCATTTTGGAATACCTCTATACAAATGCCCGATGTTACTGTGCCGACACCACATTGTCTATAGCCCTTATCAGTATTAGTATGAGCCAATATCTAGTTATTTTTTATTCAGTTCAGTATAATGCTTTTCCTCAAAAACAGTTTCGCTATTTTTTTAGTGTCGAGACGCTAAAAAATGGTTTCAAATGTACCTTTCACAAACCCCGAACCATTGCATAATGATGGTGGTTCTCTCTCTCTCTCTCTCTCTCTCTATTTATTTTAATCATGCATTATCAACTACATGTAAAGCAGCAACAAAAAACTTAGGGTTATCTGGGATAGGTGAAAGTGAGAGTTAAAAAGAAAGTAATGCTAAAACGACGCTTCACCTCCCCCCCCCCCCGATTGTTTTTTTTAAATAGTGGTCCTCCTCTCCAGCACCCCCCCCCCGCTTTAATATTCACCGGCCGGTTGAGTCGGCGCAAAAATGTTCCCAAAACACTGGACCCCCCAAAACAAATATATGTGTTCTTATCCACCCCACCCCCCCTCCCCCCGCTCATTCGCCGTTCGCCGGCTGGCTGATTCGCCGCTAAATATTTTCTCAAGATTTGGGCCCCCCTCTTGCCGCGGGCTGGATCCGCCCCTGGTAGTAGTAGTAGTAGTAGTAGAAGTAATATAAATGGTAGTAGCGGTAGCGGTAGTGTTCTTATTTGTATTCTTAATATTTATATTATCATTATTATCATTGTTATTAATACGCAATATACGTTTACAAGATAGAAGATCGATGGTAAAACTTGTTTTGGACAGTCGTGCTTGTGTAAACTAATTGTGAGGACCACTGACGTGACTCCTCTGGAGAGTGAAAATGTAGTAAAAAAAGAGCGAAAGTTCATTCTCTTTCTTAGAAAGCACTCGAAATTCAATCAATATTTAAACATAAACAACTGATGACTGACGTGAAAAAAGAAGAGTGAGAATTCACTTTTTACTCTTTAGAGAGTACTACTACATGAATTAGAATCGATAACTAGGCTTATCAACTCCATGGAGGTCTTTTCAATTTCTCTTTTTTTAAACAATTTTCACTTTTATTATTTGATTGGTTTTAGATTTAATAATATGTCCCCTTTGTTGATCCATTATAATTGCAAGTTTAGTGTAAGAACATGCTGTTTTCCTTGTCATTGGTTGTAGTATGGTTTTTAGGGAAATAACTATTTCGGGTCTTCGGCCACTCTCAGTCTATAAAGCAAATCAAGAAAGATTAAAAGGAAAACTTGCACGATATTGTTCCATAGCAAGGACTAGAATGAAAGGGATTAATTAGAATAACACATGTATATCCAATAAATAGACCACAGCCAAAAAAGAGAGAATGAATATGACTTTATTGTACCAATAAATCGGTGACAGGTGTGAATAAGTGCGTAAGCATACATGTACTTTACTAGATTGATCTTTCTAATTTTGAGGCTCTTGAACTCATCACTGTGCATGTTGGGGTTGGCTTGCAATCGTTCTTCTTTATCTATCTATTTATTTGTTTATTTTATTATCAACTTATTAGATTTTGAATTTTGCGAGCAAGCAAAGCAAAAATATTCCTCTGAATTTACGATGTAATTTTGCCATCAACATAAGAGATACAAAAATATAAGTAGTTCATATCGCTGACCGAATCGGGGGGGGGGGGGGGTGGATGCCTCTGTTATTGGTTATTCAAAACAAATTCGGATACCCCACCGCATCAGTATGTTACTTTCATGTTTATCTTTCTTTTCCCTTTAGGCATCATTCGGACGCGGGAAAGACAGCACAAGCGGCTACTTTCTGGCTGGCCGCCAGATGCCATGGTACCTGGTAAATCGATAAAATTACATAGTATGTTGGTAAAAGAAAGATGTTAAGATAATAATACTTAAATGCCCTTGCACCATACTGCCGGAATATGGGACGACGTCTGCCCGAATATTGGTATTTTCAAGATTCTGGAAAGAGTAGGGGGGGGGGTGCGCTTCAGTTCAGTACCCAGCTTCCCTTTCCCTCCTATTACACTAACAGCAGTGGCGGATCCTGGCCAAAAAAAGGGGGGAAAAGGGGGGAGATTTTTTTTTTTTTTTGCTCATCTGACCATGATTCAATGCCTTAAAACCCCTGAGCTTTCAGGGGGCTCCGCCCCCTGGATTTTACCTAGGGCCCAAAGTCAGGCACCTGGATGCTCATCTGACGGTAATTTAATGCCTATACCCATGAGCTTCCGGGGGCTCTGCCTTCTGGATTTCACCTAGGTCCCAAAGTCAGGCACCTGGATGCTCATCTGACGGTAATTTAATGCCTAAAACCCCTGAGCTCCTGCGGGCTCCGTCCCCTGGACCCCACACTAATTAGTGACCTACCAGTGCCACAAATAATGTATCAAAATATGCTAATCTGACAGTAATTAAATGCCTAAAACCCCTTGACTTTCGGTGGCTCTGCCCCTGGACCCCACCAAGTGCCCTAAGGCGGACGGCTGGATGCTAATATGACGGTAATTTATTGCTTAAAACCCCTGAGCTTCTTGGGTCTCGGCCACCTGGACCTCACGCCAATTAGTGTCCTGCCAGTATCACAAATAAGGTATAAATATATGTTCATCTGACCGTAATTATATGCCTAAAACCCCTAAGTTTCCCGGGCTCCGCCCTCTCGACCCCACCAGGGGCCCTAAGACGGCCCCTGCATGCTTGTCTGACCGTTATAAAAATGCCTAAAACCCCTGAGCTACTGGGGTTCTGCCCCTAGACCCCACGCAAATTAGTGACCTGCCAGTGTCACAAATAAGGTATCAAAATATGCTCATCTGACTGTAATTTAATGTATAAGACCGCTGAGCTTCTGGGGGCTCCGCCCCTTGGACCCCACATCAATTTGTGTCCTGCCAGTGTCACAAATTAATAAGGTATCAAAATATGCTCATCTGACAGTAATTAAATGCCTTTACGCCGAGAAACGTTCAGCGGGGTCTGCATGTAAGAGTGGGGTGATGGGGATTTTCTTTGTCTACCCCCCCCCCCCCCAACGTTTTTGCCACTGCCGGTGTCACCATTACGTACCAATATTTGGCTCGCACAATTTCAAATTTTGGCCCCCTAATGAATCCTGGATCCGCGCCTGGCTACCAGTAAATAATGCATATACAATATTGATCAATGAAGTGTATCTTTCAGTCAACCATTTTGTTTCAACCACACCGCGTTTCTTTCTTGACCAGGTTGGACTTTCGTTATGGATGACGAATATTGGTAGCAGATCTTTTATTGGCCTTGCAGGGTCTGCCTCTGTAGGTGGATATGGCGTTGCAATATATGAATTTCAGGTATTTATGATGTCTTACTAAATTTGATCCCCGCATTAATGCACGTTTTTTCAGTTTTCTATGCCAATTGAAAGTTGATTAAGACATTGTTTTCTTGTGTAGCTTTGAAACTACTGCCTGTATTATGGTATAGATAGTATTGCAGCTGGCAACCATACGATGACTAGGTATGCCTTGGGCTGTGTTAACGGAGATAATGAAGAAAAAAAATGATTATACAGAAAGAAAGAAAGAATATCATAAACGCAATGGACTAAGGGGCAGAGAGAGAGAGAGAGAGAGAAGGAGAGATAGAGAGGGAGAGAGAGAGACAGAGAGAGAGAGATAGAAAGAGAGAGAGAGAGAGAGAGAAAAAAAAAGCTGTAGATATGTAGCTGAGCTAATAAAAAGTACGTCCATGCAGAAAGGCAGAATAATAAACTGTTTTTTTTTTTTTTTTTTGTTCGACAGGCTCTCAACTGCTTACTTCTGTTGGGTTTCTTTTTCATCCCGGTCTACTTTGCCTCCGGAGTAAGTTTGTCATATTCTCTGATAACGTGTATGATAATAATCGTTTGAATAAAGTAATTGTATTGATGTTTTAATATTTTCAGGGCCTATATTTACCTTTATATTCCACATATACGAAGAATCTTGTTCGAAGATTGGTCAAAAGTAAATCACGTGATAAAAGATAGTTTGCCCATAATTGCTGGGAGAAGCAAAATGTTCGTTACACTGTGTAGATAGGCTATTATATACACAGTGCAACTCACTTTCACTGAAGATAGAAGTCCTATCTACACAGTGCAACGCACTTATACGCTGCGTATTGCTCTGGTTTCAGGCGATGGCAAACTATCCCTTCCTCGGCGATCTGAATGTATACGCTACATCTTTCCTCAGCTTCGCTTTGGAAAGATAGCGTCATCCAGATCGCCTCGGAAGTGATAGTTTGTCCCATCACCTTCACAAACGGTAGTTATTTGCTTACTATACTGTATATCACGAGATAGTCACGAGAGAGTATCATACTATCTATCATCTCTACCATGCCGTTATTCAATCGGGAACTACTCGTATTTTAAAACACAACTGAATACACATAAATGAATAAGAAGATATACAAGTCATTTACATTTTTTATAATCTTCACACGTCTTCTTCCCTAATATATAAAGGCGAAGTTTACCCTGAATTAAAGTTGATACTATCAAAAGCAGAAAAATTAGACAAACAAATTAGTGAAAGTTTGGGCAATATCCGATTAAAAATAGGAAAGTTATTACTTTTTAAATAGTTATCAGTTAAACGTCATTTGGCAATGCTGTGACGTATTTTGCAAGCTCCTCTCCAATTTGCTCTATACAGAAAATATCATAAATTCTCATTTTCTTAGTTGATGACGGAATGGATTTACATTTAGGTAAATGTATATGATTGAGAATTTTTTTATGGGAAAATGTAAGTTTTTGACGTTAATTTCGTACAGAGAGCAGTGTTGTTTTTCGTCTAGACGTTAAATAAAGTTGTTCATGTTTTTCAGGTTTCGACGGTCCCTGAATATCTCAAGTTGCGATTCGGCAGCAATCGTCTTCAAATCTCCATCGCAGTCATTAACCTCATAACAGCTGCAGTCATCATGCTGGCGGTAATAATAAATTGTTATAAATGTGCTGACAGATATTATATATTGATATCTCTCTAGATCTAAAGAGGTTCCAAACTTTAGAATCATATTCATATCCTTTTAACGAAATCCAATCTATGTTCATTTGTTTAAACTATACTTTTGCGAATGGTAGTAAAGAACAGTCCAACCCTTATAATGAGTAAAAATAAAGAGAAATAGAATGGCGAAAGTTTGAAATACATTGAATTAATAATAAGGAAGCTATGAGTGTTTGAAACATAATCACTCTTTCCTTGCGGCAATTTTTCAGTGGATTGTGACGTATGCACGGTCAACTCTCCCGTTGGAACAAAATAATGGGAAAGTTGTGCGGCACTACAATTATTACCGATTCAGCCCATCTGAAGTTTCTAAAATTTATAGTGATTACAATTTCCAAAACTATCAAAACTTTCTTATTTTCTGCTTTCTGTTAGCATTGACTAAGGTCCATGCTTTTAATAAGGGTACTTTGGTTTTTAGGTTGGATTTTCCTGTAATTATCTTTTTAAAACATCTGTTATTATAAAAAGCCGTATGTCAAAGCTTTCTCATGCGAGGAATATTTGTTAAGAAAGATAGAGACGGGTGACACATCAACTTGGGGAGGGGGGGGGGGGTAGTGTCGACGATTCATTCGAGGGAGCATAGCTACCGACGGGTCGGGGTGGGAGAGGCGGAAGGCTATTCTCTCTACCTGATTACGTAAGCATGTCCCCCCCCCAGTGGCGGATCCAGGGGGGGGTTGGGGGGGTTGCAACCCCCCCCCCCTTGGGCGGCCCCAAAAAAAAAAAAAAAAAAAAAAAAGGGAAAAAAAAGAAAAAAAGAAAGAAAAAAAGAAAGAAAAAAGAACGCACGCTGGAGAGAAACCCTTTCAAGTGCAAATATTGTGAGAAGATATTCAACTCATCTGGTAACTTAACCAAACACATGATAACTCTGGATATAACTATGTATTAAACTGTTACTTGATTTAAAAAGACGTTATCATGCACTGCTTTTTATGGTCTCCATTGTGTTAATAGATGCCAGGAAAACATCACTTACGGGGTTCAAATAAACACCCCAAAAAAAATCGGCTCGCCGCTTCGCGGCTCGTGGACGATGCTCCGCATCGTCATTATTTTGGTCAACCCCCCCCTTAGCAAAAAGCTAGATCCGCCCCTGCCCCCCCCCCCACTCCGTGAACGGAAAGATACCATGCGTGTTCCCAAACTCTCCGGCTCGTAACAAAGAAAAAGGTCTACCCGTAATCACTTTACACACCGGACTTTTGCTGAAGGGGGGGGGGGGGGTGCTAAAAAAAGGCTCGTATAACAAAAGAAAAAGGTCGACCCGTATTGACTTTACACACCGGACTTTTGCTGAAAGGGGGGGGGGGGTCGCTGGGAACACGCATATGTGTACCCTAAATAACACTGAGTGGGGGGGGGGTGGGAGCATGTCATGGAAGACTGTGAAAGAGTTACAGCACCGTCTCCGTCAATCGTTTTGCTACCCACTCTGCAGAGCGAGATGTACGCCTCCTCCCTGGTCATCCAGCAGTCCTTAGGATGGGACCTCTACACATCGATCATCGTTCTCCTGCTCATGACAGCCGTCTATACGGTAGCAGGAGGACTCAAGGCCGTCATCTACACCGACGCCATCCAGGCCGTCATCATGATGATCGGCGCCTCCGTGCTGATGTTTATTGGTGAGAAGGAGGGAAAGTATAACGTTAAGAAGCACTTCGAAGTGCCAACAACACATCTGGTACAAGTGGGGGATCCAGTATCCAATACGGGGGGAGGGGGGGGGGGAATAAACCATGTCCACTACGATCCCCCGAAATTTAACTCCCCCCCCCCCCCAGAAATATAATTTCGGTGATCCTGCTAGTTTTCAAAAACTCATGAGGGAGGGAGAGGGGGAACTACGTTAATGCCTCTATAACTATAATATTTTCTCCCGTAGACACCGGGAATACCGCTGGTGTTTTAAAACTTTTCGGGAGGGGATAAGGGGGAGAAGGGGGAGCGTCCCCCCCCCCCCTGAAATCTTAACCACAGGAGATTCTTTCCAGGGTATTTCCAGGATAGGATTGGATGGGCCTTTCTACAGAAGGCACATGCATGTGGTCCTGTGCCCGCTGGCATAGATAACTTATAGATGAAATTTATCTTAACATAAGTTCTCCGGCTGTCTTGTCGAATAACACGCAATCGGGCAGTGTCATTCCCAAGTTAAAAAAATAATCGTCATTACTTTTTTGTTTTCATAGGTTTTTATTCGTTTCTCTCAAAGAAAATTGTACATTTATAACATAATACATTGGATACAAAATAACAAAATAATTTAACATAGTTCTTTATAAATTTACCAATGATCTTTTACATTTACATACAAAAGTTACACCTCTTCATTTTCCTTTGGAGACAAAAAAAAAAAAAATTATATATATAAAAAAGGGAAAAAGCTACAAAACACCTACTACCCCCCCACCCCACACAACATTTAAACACATAACATGTACAACAGTATACAAAACACACGCTAACAAAGAACGAGCAAAAAAAAAAAAAAAAAAAAAAAAAAAAAGAGAAGAGAGGGAGGGTCAGGAAGTTGTGTATTGAGAAAAAAAAAAAAAAAAAATGAAAACATTTATTCTAAACTTTCCAAAGCTTCCCATTTCCTTAAATGAACTGAAAGTGTGTCTCTTTCCATTGAAAGTTTTTTCTCTTCATTTCTATTTTCCAACAATCTATATTCTATTTCTTTTGCTTTTGGAGGGTTTCCCTTCTCTCTACTGTGGAAAATCATATATTTAATCAAAATTAAAATGTGGTTCAATAATTGCTCTGTTTTAAATGTAGTGTCATCTATTCCTATATGAATTTCTTTCCAGGATAATTTCTTCAAAATTGGTAAATTAAGTCTATCTCCACATTTCCCCCAGACTTCCTTTATTATATTACATTCAAAGAATATATGTTGATAAGTTTCTTCAAAATTTTTGCAAAATGAGCACAAACCATTTTCATGGAACCTGAATCTATGTAAATGATGATTTGTATATAAAATATTATGCAATAATTTGAACTGAAATTCTCGCAGTTTACTACTTAAGGTACACATCCTTGGTTGAACATATATCTTTTCTACTTCTTTTCTTGGAATATTGTAAAGTGTCATTAAATTGCCGCCTGCCGAGTTTGTTTCTACATTCTTTTTAATTTGACTCTTATATACCATTTTTGCAGTTAAATCTTCAAATGAAAACACTTTCTTTGAAAAAATAAATTCTAAACTAAAGCCAGTGTGAATTGCTTTTCTTAAAGGTTGAACATTCTGTTTCCATTCATAAGGGGCTACTTTATAAATTTGTTTTACTTTATCAATTTCCACTCTGCTCAAACCTAACATTATAAAATGAGCTTCAGGTTTCAATTCTCCATTTTCTTCACAAATGTGATGAATTCGATATATATTTTTCAAAAACAAAGTTTCCTCAAATAAGGTTTGACCTTCTAGTTGAATAAAATTATTATTATACAATATTTCATTCCCTTTGTATCTCTCTTCTGTTTTAACATATTCTTTCATATCTATCCATGCTTTCAGAAGATTCTGATAAAAGGAAGGTAACATAAGTTTCACTGTATCTCTCCAATAATTGCAATAAAATATTAAATTACCTCCTATCGGTCTCATTAAATATTTAAAGTATTGTTTCCATTTGATATCATGAGTTCCTGTTACAAGCCTTTTTATCCACATTATTCTTTGTGCTTTTACAAACAACCTAAAATTCATCATTTTGAGCCCACCCTGCTGATAGTCTAACATCATTGTACTTCTTTTAATTTTATCTTTACCTCTCCACAAAAAATCAAAACATATTACTTCCATTTCTTTGTATACCCACTCTGGAACTGGCATTAGTGATGTTACATATGTCAATTTAGAGTATCCATATACTTTCATCAATTGAATTTTACCCATTAAAGTTAGGTCACGCTGTTTCCACCACGTCAGTAGTTTTTTAATTTTGCTCAATATTTCCTTATAATTCATTTTTTCCTTGATATCTACATGAACTGAAAAATAAACACCTAATATTTTAACAGCATCTACAAGTTTCCCAAACGGAAATGTGTTATTAGACACCTGTGGGCCCAGGGGCAGAATATATGTCTTATCCTTGTTTAACTTTAATCCTGATATTTTATAAAAACCTTCTAAAACGTGTTCTATTTCCTTAACTGAACTCATAGCTTTGATGAAGAGTGTTATATCATCAGCATATAATACTTGCTTTATTTCTGTATTTCCAAAACAAATTCCTTTTACCAATTGATTGTTTCTAATCGTATGAGCTAAAATTTCAAGGCATAAAATGAACAGGTATGGAGATAATGGGTCTCCTTGTCTAATTCCTCTTTCAACTTTAAAATAACCTGTTGATGCGTTTCCATTCATAACACAACTTTCAGTATTAGTATAAAGTATATTCACCCATTTACAAAACAATGGTCCAAAACCAAATGAATTTAAGACTTTGTATAGAAAACAATGAGAAACAGAGTCGAATGCCTTTTCAAAATCTAAGGCCATCAAAAAAGCATTTTCCTTATAAAAAGAAGTATGAAAAATCATGTCATCTATTATTCTTATGGCTTCTCCAATGTTTCTATTCTTAACATATCCAAGTTGATCAGAAGATACAATATCAGGTAAAATTTCTTGCAATCTCTTTGAAAGTATCTTTGTTAAAATTTTATAATCCACATTTAAAAGAGAAATCGGTCTGTAATTCTTAATAAAGTCTGAATCTTTATCTTTTTTATGTATCAAGGTAATAACTGCTTGTCTCTGAGAGGCCGATAGTTCTCCATGATTAAAGGCTTCATTAAAAGATGCAAGGATTAGATCTCCAATTACCGGCCAAAATTTAAGATAAAACTCTACACTTAAGCCATCATTTCCTGGTGATTTATTTAATTTCATATTTTTTAATATTTCTATACATTCCCTTTCTACTATCTTTTCTTCACCTAAACCCCTTAAGGTCTCGTTCAATTTTGGCATGTTACTAGGGAAAAATTCTAAACCTCCATCTAGTACAACTTCTATTTTTTTATACAACTGACTGTAAAACTGTTTTATTCCCTCGACAATTTCTTTTTCCTTAGTAACAATCTTTCCGTTTACGTTTAATTTCTGTATTACACTTTTCTTTCTATTTGCTTCCATGAGCTGTTTAAAAAATGCTGTATTCTTCTCTCCACATTCATACCAAGAGGCCCTTGATCGTATTTTTAAACCTTCATTAATATAGTCATAAAATACTCTTAGTTGTTGTTTCTTAATTTTCAGTTGTTCAAGGATATCTTTATAATGTACATTATTGATTGATAGTAGATTCTCTTCCAAGTCTTCAATTTCTTTTTCTAGCTTTTCTATTTTTTCCTTCCTTTCCCTTGCCCTTTCCTTTGAAAATTTAGTTGTAAACCTGCGTATTTCCATTTTGATATAGTCCCATAATACTCTCTTGTCTTTTATCTCAGATAACATTTTGTTCTTTAAAGTCTGTATTTCTTCCTTCATCTTTAAAACATAGTCTCTATCATTTACCAAGCTATTATTGAACTTCCAATAACCCCTTTTACCCTGAATTTGTCTAGACGTTCTATCATGCAGAACCAAATTAACAGCTGAATGGTCGGGTGCTAAGGAGGGAATAATGTCACATTTGGATGTTATCTGTTCTAAATTCTCTGATATAATGAAATAATCCAAACGGCTTTGCATAAATGGATTCCCTTGTCTATAAGTATATTGTTTTTTATCTTTATTTTTATTTCTCCATACATCTCTTAATTTAAATTCATCCATGAATTCTTCTAATTTGCTACTGAATTTTGATTGCTTCTTTGTAACTTGTCCAAAATAATCTAAGTTCTTGTCTCTAATAACATTAAAATCACCTCCAAGAACTACTGGGTTCCCTTCTGAATTGTTTCTATACAACAACTCCCTTAAATCCATTAAACATTTTATTTGCTCCCCTTCGTTATTTCCAGTAGGAAAATAAACATTTCCTAGCAACATCTTCTGACCTTGTATATTACATCTAATCAATAAATATCTTCCATTTATGTCTGCACAAGTGTCGCTAATTTCAATGTCTAACTTACTATTTATTAATACCAAAACTCCTCTACTGTGGCTTGTACCATGACTAAAGATACAATTCCCGCCCCACTCCAATTGCCATTTCTTTTCGATATCAGGTGTACTGTATGTTTCTTGTAAGTATATTATATCTATAGACTTTGTCCTAAACCAATTAAACATTTTTTCTCGTTTGCTTCTATCTCTAATTCCCCTCACGTTTAGTGTAAGATAGTTACATGAAAACAAGTTCCCTCTATTATCCATCTTTTTTTTGTTGAAATAAACCCTTATCTATATATGAGCTGGGACCCTCTATAAATTCCGACCTTGCAGATAAAGGGATCATCTCTTGGCAAATTAATATTTTTAATGAAACAACTTCACGACCCTCTTCCCTACCAGAAAGGAAACTAAGAAAGAAAAAGAATATGTATAAATACATGAGACTACTACAAATATTCGAGAACCCATATTTGAAAAAAAGAAAAAAAAGAAAAGGAAATAAAAGGAAAAGAACACAAGAAAACATAAGATGACAACATGAAACAGACAAATAACAGAGTTCGCGTGGCGAATCATACATAATGATTAACCAGACTGCCTTTGCAAACGTTGCATGGCAGTCCCCTCCCCCCTCTCCCCTCTCCCCTAATTTAACTTTCCTACTTATTTGTCATACAGCCTGCAATTGAAAATTATGCACTGTCTGACCTTTGTTTCTACATTTCCTTGTAAAAAAAAAAATAAATAAATAAAACTAATATCTTCCTACAAATCTACTCCATCATGGTCTTTTTCCATGTAAAGGTTAATCAAAAAAAAAAAAAAAAAAAAAAAAAAAAAAAAAAAAAGGATAAACCACCCTGTGTTATCTCCATCTCAATTCAAAACTTTTCTATCCTGCCTTCATTGTATAACACTTACAATTCAAAGACTATGCCATATCTCCCCTTCTTTCTACCTTCAACAGTTCTCAAAACAAATACCTTACTACAGATCGACTGCATTGTAACTCATTAACATTTGGATTAAGGTAGTGTTCTGAAACTCCTGCTAGTAAAATTGCATTGAGAAACTACTTCTCTTTTAACATTTGCAGCAACACAGCAACAACAACAAAATAAATAAATAAATAAATAAAAAAATAAAAAAAATAATAAAAAAAAAAAAAAAAACATTACGGTCATACCGATTGTAAAAACAAATATATAATCTTCATCCTTCCATGCGACAGCTCTGTCCAAAATTGATTGGTCGATGGATGTACTTCGAGAGGGCTACATGGCGGCGATCCCCAATACCACCGGATCCATCTTCGCTAATACGAGCTGTGGGGTACCCACGGAAAAGGTCTGGCATATCTTCCGCCCTGCTGACGATCCTGGTCTACCTTGGCCTGGGTCCGTCTTCGGGGCCCTGGTCCTGGGGTGCTACTTCTGGTGTACCAACCAGGTTAGAAATATCCCTTCATTTCTATCGCCTGAAATCATTGATGTTAGCCTCTAGTCTCGGTATATTGATCGGAGTGACCCAACAAGAGTTAATGAGTTTCATTTCAATAGACCACTATCATTTTGGTTATGAGTGTCATCAAATTTAATGCAAAAATCTTTGTTAAGTGCCTCGTTACAGATAATTCATTCATCTGTTACGAATAATTATATTTCAATAATCAGAATGTGAATTCCAAACCTTAATTGTTGGTAGGTCAGACAAACATTATGGCTTGTCCTACCTAACAAAATAATGTATTTAATTGCATTCTGACTATTAATTGAATACAATAAATATTATTCGTAAGATGTGAATGAAATAATTTGTAACGAGGCACTTAACAAAGACTTCCACGTTAAATTTGATTACATTTACATGGCCTGGGGGGTGTTTCACGAAGAACCTAAGTCGAACTAAATTCTAAGTTGGACTTAAACATTATGGAGAGCCATTTGTAGCCTTAAAATAGAATATATTCAAAAGCGAAAATTGAAGTATTTTAGACTTTTTACAAATTCCACATGAAGAACATGAAATCTCCATGATAATAGAAAATATGAACGATTTGAATCATCATGTAATGCCTTATATATTTTTTATTTTTTTTAAATAAAAAAATTATAGATGCTAACGGCTTTCCATAAATGTTAAGTCCAACTTAGAGATAAGTTCAACTTTGGATCTTTGTGAAACACCCCTCTGTTGTTTTTACAAAGGTGATCGTTCAGCGTACCCTAGCTGCGAGGAACGTCACCCACAGCAAGGGTGCTTGTATCATGACAGGCTACTTCAAGATCCTACCCATGTTCCTCATGATCATCCCGGGTATGATCAGTAGAACATTGTGGCCTGGTAAGTCTATTCCAAGATCTTGAAGATCACAGTTTCTACCTTTCTCAACTAGTCATCCATCCATTCATTCATTCGTCTATTCATTCGTTTATTAATTGATTGATTGAGTTCATGATTGATTGATTAATTGAGTGAGTAAGTGAGTGAGTGAGTAATTGAGTGAGTGAGTGATGATTGATTGATGGGTTGATTGATTGATTGATTGAGTAATTGATTGATTGATTGATTGGTTGATTGGTTGATTGAGCGATGATTGATTGATTGATTTATTGGTTGATTGGTTGATTAGTTGATTGGTTGATTGAGCGACGATTGATTGATTGAGTAATTGATTGATTGATTGGTTGATTGAGCGACGATTGATTGATTGAGTAATTGATTGATTGATTGGTTGATTGGTTGATTGATTGATTGATTCGTTGATTGATTCATTTATTTATTTATGAAATTATTTATTTGTTCATTCATTCATTCATTCATTCATTCATTCATTCATTCGTTCTTTATGGAATACATTACTCGTGGGTAAGTTGTTGTCCGTAATACTGAATATAAATCCTTTTTCATTAAGACCCCTAACCTCTACATAACAACATCAGCAACAACAACTATGAAGGGGTGACCAAAGTTCGCGGAGATTTTGAAAATATTATGACATGTGATATTCGATCTATGATTTCTCATATTCTACATAATTGTTTAAATTTTAATTATTACCAAATGGACGGCAAAGTTTTTTTTACCACAAATTTGTTCAACTAGAAAATTTATCGTCAAAGGATCCCGGAGATATCGCGATCTAAAAATTCAATTTCGGATCTGCGTGCGCGCTGCAACAACAAAAAAGTCATAAAAACAACGAGACCTTACTTCGTGCACGGGGGTTTACAGCTGATTTATCAAAAAAATGCGATCCATTAAAAATAAGGTAATATCATAATTTGCAAGGCAGTAATATCATACAATCAGTTGGTATCACTTTTTACTTACAATTTTGAGGATATCTTCTCTCAAAATGAAGATTTCCAGACCCTTATCGGTAAGTTGATGATTTTTCGAAACAGACGCAAATAACTGCAAAATTTGCCGATCTTTTGTCAATATTTTCACAATTTCGCACCCAATTCTAAAGAAAATTTCGTTTGTGGGTAGTTTTATGATCCTCTTTCCATTGGTGATATCAGATTTTCGAAATCTTACCCATTTTTTGAGAAAGCGAGCTTTGGTCACACCACCATACATCAAAGGTGATCCTAATAAACACAAACATAAAAGAACCCAAACCAGATTACTACAGTATTGTGTTTGGTGTTTTTTTTCTTGGCGCTCTTATTTTTTTCAGACGAAATAGCTTGTGTAGATCCAGAAATCTGCCAAGAAGTGTGTGGTAACCCGGCAGGATGCTCCGATATCGCCTATCCGAGACTCGTCGTCGAACTCATGCCAACCGGTAAATCCTAAACGTCGACGTGTACCATAAACAGTGACGTATCCGGAAAAGTGATAACCGGGTGGGAGGGGGCTGCGAAAATGTTTCGAGATTGGAGAGGGGATGGTTAGAAAAGGAATTCAACATGACATAAACCTATTGCACTATGTATTGAACATTTTACTGGGCCTTCAAGATAATAAGGGAGGGGTATATATAGACAATATATTATATGCCAGCTCCGTCTGAGAATGAATAAGACATTGATAATAGAAGACGATTAGCGCCCGGGGATAAATTTAAGCATAAACACTAATTCGATCCCGGGGGTCTCAGTCAAATATAAATACTGTAAGCATGCGTGACCAAGAAAACGCGTCTAAAGGGGTGGGTTTTTTTTTTGGGGGGGGGAGGAGAGATTGGAAGCGGTCCGCGCGGTGCCGCATTAAAGATTGGAAGCGGTCCGCGCGGTGCCGCATTAAGGGGTTAAAAATGTCCATTTTGGGGCATTATCAGGAAAAAGGGTACTTTTTTAAAATGGTTCAAACTTTTTTAGGTGTACACTTTTTTGAAATACCCGTTTAGCGTGTGAATTCGGGAAAACACCACACGAAATCCTCATTTATGGTGTATTTTCGCTTCAGAAGAAATCCTCGTTTAGAGGGTGTCTGGAAACCCTGTGGTCACGCATGCTTACAGTATTTCTACATGACTGAGACCCCCAGGAATTAGATATTCTACTGTTGGGCTCTATACTATGACAATGGTCGTGTCAGGTTATTTTAGCAGGGGACGACGGACACTACAATTATACGTAAGGAACAAAAATGATACGATATCGATGGGTGAGCTTCAAATTGTTATGGTACAATAATTTGTGACAGAGACCTACATGAAAAACAATGATTTAGCAGAATATTTCAATGTCACAGCGTTCGAACGAAGTCCTGTGGCTTTCGCCTAACATCTCATTTCTATCGTTCAGGTCTAAGAGGGTTGATGCTGGCGACCATGTTGGCTGCCATGATAAGTTCACTGACCTCGATCTTCAATGCGTCCAGTTCCATGTTCGTCCTTGATATCTGGTCCAAGTTCAGACCGGCTTCGACGGAGCTTGAACTCGTCATCGTAGGAAAGTAAGTTGATACATTTTAAAACGCAGGTTTTATGATCCTTCTCTCAGAATCCGGTCTTTTTCTCTCCCTTCTTTTCTCTGTCAGTTCATCTATTCACCATCTTTCTGTGTAGGATTTGCCTATTTCGTCCTCATCTCCCTCTCTCTCTCTCTGTCCCTCCCTCCCTTTCTCTTTATTTCTCTCTCTCTCTCTTTCTCTCTCTCCCTCTTTATTTTTTTTCTCTCTCTCTCTCTCTCTCTTTTTTTTTTTTTTAATTTTTTTATCTCTCTCTCTCTCTTTCGCTCTCTTTCTCTTGTCTTCCACCAGCGGTTGAAGGTTATGTTTCGTGTAACTGAAAATTAAATCAATGAATTCTCATTTTACTGATCAATTAGACCAATGGCAACTCGTTTTGGGTTTAATAGTTCAAGGGCGTCGGACCTTCTGACTAAAGTTGACAACCTACTATATATTTTAACAGATTTCCAACTTGACCGACCTCTCTCTTAGATAATATAGGTCACTCTAAATCCCGACTCACGAATACTAATAACCAGATGCAGTTATTATCTTCACCATAAGGCTGGCAACAGTTGTGATGGTGATCGTAGGTGTCTTGTGGATACCTATCCTTCAGGCCTATGGTACCGGCGAGCTCTTCACCTACATACAGGCCGTCAACGCCTACCTTGCACCAGCCGTCCTCGCGGTCTTCACTGCAGCTGTCTTGTGGAAACGGGTCAATGAAACGGTATGAAATTTGATCAGGGTATCGCTTGGGATGTTCTAAATATCTACGGGGAAATCTCAAAGTGAAGATTGTATATATTTACCTTTTCCCACCTGTTTGATGGCAAAAAATAAGAAAAACCTTTCAATTCTTTGAATTTCGATGCGGCACCATGCGTTAACAACAATAGCCTGGCCATTTATGTAGATGAATAACGTCAAGGAATAGATAAAAAAATGTCAATGATTACATTGAAAACTACAAATGAAAATGAATGGGTTAACGATAGTGAATGCGGACAATAGATTGGCAGAGGAATGAAGTTCACAAGTCCATTTTGGAATACGGGCAGAATTGACTGCAGTTCTGGCACCTGATATATATTTGGAAATGCTTTCTTCGCCGATTGTGCTCTATACGTCATGTACACTTTCCCAAGAGTCAGCTGGTATCCGTTCTGATTATGCCCTAGTGTCCACTGCACACAATTCAATTGCGTTATTACCTGCGATAATCAAACCTACGAAGGGGAGGAAATCATGCACCAGTACAGTCAAACCTGCTTTAGTGACCACCTGTCTACAAAGACCACCTGTCTACAAAGACCACCTGTCTACAAAGGCCACATTTGTTGTTTCCCTTGAAAATGGTTTCTCATTGAAACATGTACTAAAGGCACCTGTCTACAAAGACCACCTGTTTACAAAGGCCACTTTTTGTGTTTCCCTTGGGCGGTCGCTATAGACATGTTCGACTGTAATTTTAAAAGATCTTTGCATTGTATATTGTGCGATATGACCCTGGTCAGATTCGCACCATCCGCTGACACATGTTGTTGTTGAGTTCAGCGTTATGGCAATCAGTCAAATTTAACTATTATCACCAACAATTAAACAAATAATGAAAAAGAGTTGCGATCGATCAAAATCAATCGCAGGTTTGCAGTCCCCTATCTCTTATGTACATATATGTGATTGATATCAATCGCAAATAAGTTGAGATTAATATCAAATTTACTGTTTAATTTTTCTGTCCTCCATTGGTAATTATGATGTGGCAGGGAGCATTTTGGGGTCTGCTGTGCGGCTTCACTATCGGTTTCACCAGAGCCGTTCTCGACTTTGTCTTTGGCGTCCCATCGTGTGGACAGGAAGATAAGAGACCTAGCTTCCTGAGCAACTTCCACTTCCTTCACTTCGCAGCCTTCCTCTACGTCTTCACTCTCCTTCTCATCGTCGGGATCAGTCTCCTGACAGAACCGGTCTCGCCGCAGAAGGCAAGTCTAAACCTGCCTGATATTGATAATGGTATTTTTTCTTCTAAAAAGCGCGCTCGTCATCAATTGCGATATCGTCAAAGTTTCGCTACCACTACCGTCATAATCGTATCACCGTCGTAATGCCTTATTAAAACTACGATCTCTACTATCACTACTATCACTTCTACTACTACTACTACTACGACGACGACGACGACGAAGACGATGACTTAAACGCCGGCTCGGATGACAGAATAATGACGATGACGCCATTGCAACGTCGAAAAACGTTTTTAATTTGCAGAATAATTGGCCCTACTTTTCGTCTCTTGTTCTCTTTCTTCCATTCCTCGTACCCCAAGTCTCGCTCTACTATGCGTTCTTGTAATTTATCTTCTTGCATTTTCCTTATTTTTAAAAAAATATTTCAACAGCTGGTACGCTTGACATGGTGGACACGATTCTCGAATCTTCCTCGCGAACCTATGACTGAAGGAGACGAAGAGAGAGCACAGATCAGAGAGGAAGCAAGGAAACAGGCCACAATACGTACGTAATGTTGTCTCTTTTTATATTTCATTTCTTTTCATTTTTATTTTTTCATTTCCAACAAAATACAATACATAATAACGAATACAATGTACAACGTATACAAAACATAGTAACATTTGTAATAAACAAATCTTAATAGTAATTTATACATTTGAGGAAGACAAAAATTGAATTTTTAAATTTAACCGCAATTATATTAAATGGATCTTCAATAAAATACGCTCTAGGATCAGTAGGTCTAACTGAACAAATAAAACAAATATAAAAGACTGAAAGCAACAACAACAAAAAACTAACAAACGAATGAACGGAAACACAACTAAATGAACGAACGAAAAAAAAAACATGGTCTCATCTAAATTACTAGGTAATATATGCAGGCAGGAATTACCCTGAATTGACGACTTTCCAAGTCAAGTCTTTTAATTCATGTTAATTTTTTTCCCCTGCTCTTTCATTTGAACAGGGGCCCGCTCGCGCACAGGTTTGTCGTGGAAAGTCATGAACGTCATTTGCTGTATCCATGGTAACGGGGAATCACTGAAGAGAAACGACCACGGCGACGTGGAAGGCGACGTCCATGAGGAGAAGGTGATGGACGAGCCCGAAGAAGAAATTATGTCCGCTGCGTACGAGAATCCAAAATGGGCGCGATTCGCCTTGGTAAACGGAATTTTGTTAGGCATCGCGTGCATAACAGTTCTCGCTTATTATGGCTGATTGTATCTTTTTAATAAGGAGCGCAAATTTCAGCTGCATAATTATGCTCGTCTTTTTTCATGTATGTGGTGAATATAATCGTGTTTTTAATTCACATGGATGTAGGATAGATGCCGTTTTACATGTAGAAATTGATTTTGATAATGGTGTCTTTTAAATTGAGAGTCATCAGTTACAACTATTTCAATGCATGCAAAGGCCTAATAATGCATACTAATAAATGAATTTATAGAAGAGAATATCAGTATGATATCTGAGTTAGATATTAAAGAGGTGAATAAAAAAGGATAAGTGGTATAATAGAGTGCCGGATCATCAATGAAACAAAGAGAGAGAGAATGAGAAAGAGAAGAGAGAGAGAGAGAGAGAAGAGAGAGAGAGAGAGAGAGAGAGAGAACTAATTTCAAGACTTTATATTCCTTGGATGATATATAATTAATTCCACCATTATTTACATCGCATGTTGTATTCATCGCTCTTCATATCGTTCTGCTTCAGGGTATTATCACAAGGTAATCAAAGCAGAAATCTATTGTACAAATTGATCTTGATTTCATAAATTAGTTAATATGTTATGTGTTTTACTTAACAGGGTATCATTTCTCTTTTGTGTGTATTCCTCACAACTTATTCCTACGTTGTGCATGTTATCAAAAGAGACTGATTTGGGCAACATCACCTAACGATACTATCTAGGTCAGATAGACCCATCCTTAAAAAGAATAAAAAACACCTCTTAGTTAAGAATAAAATTCTGTTGTATATTACGTGTAGGTTGATCTGAAAAGCTTGATAGTACTGAATTAATTCATACTGCATTGAGATCTAAATGTTTAGTGATAAAATTAGTCGCCCCAAATAAATTCAATGTGGAGGTGCAATTCAAGCATGGTCTTCGTGAAATGAACTCGGAATACTTATGTACTGAAAACGATGATTTGATCGATAGAATGCTATTCGAGGCGAAATGCAATTTATAGTTTAGCTTCGAAATCGAGTTGCGTCATGTGTCTTTATTTTGTATTGATCGTTCTTCTATTCAGCATGCATCGGACCGTATACGCCCTCGCTATTCGGTCAAGTTTTCTACAGTTTCTTCAGTTCTTTTCGTATGAATTTAGGATATAACGATTTCTTTTAAAATCTGATAAAGGCCTGTTGTGCAACCCCCCCCCCCCAAAAAAAAAATAAAAAATAAATAAATAATAATAATAATACAAAATAAAAAATAAAAAAATAATAATAATAATAAATAAATATGAATAAATAAATAGAATAAAAAAATAAATCCGTCACTGCCTTACTGCTGATATAGATTTAATTCAATTACTTATTTTGATTCATTTCTAATTTAAAAATATAAAGAAGCACCACACTATTAAAGCCACACTGTCCTACTGGTAGTAACTTGCTCCCTCTATATAGAAAACAATGCCTAATCGGTGACCATTGGTCCCCCATGATCCTCTTTTCTTATGTTAATTGAGAGCTGAGTTGATGAGATACACTGACTAATTACACTCAAAATTCAACTTAAGACATGGTCCTTGTTTTATTGAATCACTAGTTGATCAATTAGCGTCCTATTATGTTGATGATTATCAACATAAAATTATACACAAACCACAATTTTCAGTGGCATTACGTATCAACGATTATACAACATTTAACAGGAAAATAAGACATTGAAATTTAAGGCGATTATGGAACCACATCAGTTTTAAATTAAATATCAAGAAATATAAACATGCATTCTCAAGTTAACTGCGTGAGAAAATAGCCTCTCAAATCAGGAATCACACAGCAATCGATATGTAGATAAAATTTAAAATTTTCAAGTTGAAAAGATGGGTGCTAAGGGTGTGCCGTGCATGCTGTGGTCGCTGACTCAAACTCAAATCGTCACGTATGACGTGGGAGAAAAATGTTCTCATGTCTACTTAGTTTACCACAGAGAATAACGTGTCGTGTGCATCCGTCACACTTTACAGTACATGCAACTAATGATAACAAAAGATATATACAGTGCATCCCAGAAGAAAAAAAACGAAACCGAGAATTATCGATGTTTTATCATAACTTAATCACAATTATAATTAATAAACGAAATAATTCATGCATTCATGCGACGAAACGGAGTTAAGTCTGTTATCAATTGTTGCTACGGCAGGCAGCCAGTGAAAACGAATTCGTTTGATAAAATTATGGAAATGTAAGCACTACTTTAAACGAACAGAACTTCGTCATTCCCTGCTTATTTTTCCTGATTGAGGTGTTATGTGAAAGGCCGGGTAGAAACCCAACTTTTTAGAAATATGATTTTCTTTTTGAAATTCAGATACCATCCGCCACCATGAATTTTTGGTTTCCTCTCTTCAAATTGATTTTAATCACTCATACGTGAAATATGCATCATATGAGTTGCATCATATGAAAGAGGCGGATCCAAGCTTTCCAAATATGTGTCATTTATTAATTATAAATGTGACTAAGTTATGATAAAACATCGATAATTCTCTATTTCGTTTTTTCTGGGACGCACTGTACAAAAGATCCAAAGTCTAATCGTCAAGAATGCATTTCCCCAGGTCAGGTAAGCAATATAAAAACAAAATTTGCTTCGCATATCGAGCATTCGAAACATTTGAATAGTTTATCAATATCCATATTCACTAAATTTCAAAGAGTAATTTCCCTTATAACTGCACATCTTAGTTTGCTACCTGCTCGTCATAATGTGATGGTTTACAGTCTGAAAACTCTATTACAAACAAAATATTTAATCAAGTTCTACATTAAAATTTTCGGACTAAAATAGTTGATATATATCCGCCTAACTAAATATATAATACAGTTAAGTGTTGATGGTCGGCCTCAAAAAATATTCAAACCATACCAATGAATATCCTTATCTTAAAAAACGTAATCTAGTCTTAATAACTACAGCTTTACTGTAAATATGAACTCACTTCCGGTCATACGACATCTCTGATTTCCAGGTTTCCGGGTGTCCAATTTTCTTAGATGTTTAATTTTGTTCTTGATGTCAAACGCTACAGGAAACCGTTTTGGAAAACATTTAACATGTAACTCTTTGGTTGAACCCTATATTGACTCGACTGCAAGCACAACATGAGAGATAAGTACCGGTTGAACCCCTCTGTGATCTATATACATGCAATGATCTTTCGAAAGGAAAAGGTAATGCAACAAAGTAAACTAACGTATCATGACTTAGCTAACCTGCATGTTGCAATCCTTCGGGCGTCTATACCAAGCCCATATACCAAATTAAGGCTCACTTTCTGACCATTTGGACAACGAAAGGTTGATGTGCACCAAATATGATCCAACACATTTCCTGCGATCAAGACCCATTGGAACCACAAGGTTCCTCATAGCCTCGTCGTAATCTAAACATGGTGATCTGTCTCGAAAATACATGATACAAAAACGCCGTATGACTGAATACCTCATGATCTCGGGACAAGCTCCACGTTAAATTCCAGAGGGCGTCTAATGAGCGCGAAAGCCGAGTCCAGACTCACTTTCTGACCTTGTGGACAACTAAAATTAAGTTGATGCAGGAGTGTGGTGAAGTAGATGAAAAGATTGATTCGAGCCAAATCTGAGCCGATGCACTTTCTGCGACCAAGACCGAATGCAACCACAAGCTTCTCCTTGTCCTTGTCCAGTGTTCCGTCCTGCGCGAGGAAACGACGAGCGTTGAAGACTTCTGGTTGGTCCCAAACCTCTGGATCAAAGTGAGCTGAGTAGAGGTTGACGAAGACTACCATGTCCTTCGGAACGAAATATTCGTCAAGAACTGTATCCTTGGTTGTGCTGTGCGGAATGGCGAAAGGAATAACAGATGCGTGGCGCTGTATTTCAAGAAGGCATGACTGCGTTAACGGTAGATTGTCAAAGTCGTTCAAGGTTGGCAAACGATGACGACCAATCACTTTATCGATCTCACCTTGAACATCAGACTGAACTTGTGGGTAGGAAGCCATGTAGAGGAGCATCCACTCTAAGGTTGCAGATGTAGTCTCATAACCTGCCCCGAAAAAGTCATGTACAGTTTGAAGGAGTGTATTTCCAGCCAACCCCAACCGTTTAAGTTCTTCCTCCCCGATCTCAGTGCTGGTAGTAATGATATGATCGACTATATCCCTCTCGGATCCAGGCTCATAGACTGCATGATGTTCTTCAATGATTCCCTGTAACATTTGCCCGAGTTGTTTTTGAAATTCCTTTAATTTCATTGTATGTTTTGTCATGATAAATCTCAGCCATGGTAGGAAGTCTATGGGGTTTCCACTTCCTGTTGCCTTGGAGAATTTGTCTGCAAAACCTAGGAGTTCGATGAGTTTTTTGTCTTCATATGAGGAGCGCTTGCTTAACAAATACCAAAGCAATATATTGCTCACTGACAAACTTAGCATGCCTTTAAGGTTGGTGTTTTTTTCCTCGTAAGAGGCTTTCAGATACCGGACAAGTTCTTGTGCCTCGCTTTCGACAACTTTCTCTAGGACCTGGACCTGTCCTCCTGCAGTAAAATGGCGGAGCGACGCTTCGGCAAGCTTTCGATGGAGCTTCCATTGCTCGCTGTAAGTGCTAAAACCAATTGACGGGCCGTAGACGTTCGTCTCGTTGATTACGTTGAAGGTAAACAGATCTGGGCGACCCGCAAAGACGGCTGGTTGTTTGGTCAAGGCTTTCTTGATAGCCTCAAGTCCGTTCAAAACAAGTACAGGTCGACTGCCCATCTGAATCTTGAAGACATTTCCATAGACCTTTGCCAGCTTCATCAAGGATAGATGTGGGCCGCTCTGATCCAAGGACAGCATGTTACCAAAGACGGGAATTCCCCAGGGACCAGGCAGCGGTCGCCCTCCACTTTTGGCCACCTTCTCACTCTTTCGTTTTGTATTAATCCAATATCGTGTGATGAGAATCGATGAGGCAATTACTACTACATAAGTGACGACTGACATCGAATTCAAGAACTGGAAATCAGCCATAGTATCGAGCAAATCCCTCTCTTTTTGGACCGATCGGGAACAACGAGTCAGACAATGTAAACTATCACAACACAGTAGTGACTAGTTGTTCAAATGCATTCTGTATGAATGAATGCAACGAGGTGCGGTGATTTTAGAAACCTAAACATCACACAAAAAAAGGAGTAAATATAGTATATACATCTAGGTCAAGTACGCGATAGTCAAAACCTTTCCTTTGTCGCTCACCATTTTTGAGTAAGTAGAGGATCCAGGATTTTTTTTTAGAGGGGGAGAGGCCCCCCGAGAGGCCCACATTTGTAATCATTTTGAAATTTTGTATGGTGAAATGGGGGGGGGGGGGGGGGGGGGGTAGTGAGCACTATTTTTTTCTTGCCCGTCTTTGTTTGTTTGTTTGGGGGTGGTCATGGGGGGGGGGGGTACAAGGCCCGCTCGGCCCCTGGATCCGCGCTTTAGTAGAGAATAAGCTGTCATGGATCAATGGCTACTATAAACATGAACAAAAGATAAATATTTTGACCATGAAACTAAATTCATATAGGTTATTTTTGAAACAGCACTAAACCGCATAGAAGTATATTCCTCCAAGGATCGGTGTCATGATCAGCACCAGATAAGTGGTGACTGATACTGAATTGAAGAGTTAATGATAACCCATA